GACAGAAATGTAAAAACAAAACAAAACAAAAAGCATAAAGGTAGGAAAAAAGGAAGGAAGGAAGGGAGGAAGGAGGTTAAAAACCAAAAACTAAACTAAAAACATTAAAATCTCTAATAGATAGCCTGATTTTAATCTTTCTGCTTATTTCTAATGGTTTCCTTAGGATAAAGTCTTTAGAAATAGAATTTCTGGTTAAAGGGGTAAAGACATTTGTGAACATTTCTGATGGATACCATTTCTGATACTGCCCTCTAGAAAGAATTACCTCACTGTAGAAAAAAAAAACATTGTCTCACACATCCTCACCTATATTTGTAATACTTTTTAAAAATCTTGTCAAATTTCAGTCAAATTAGTATCATAATTTACTTAAATGCTACTGAGATTGAACCCCAAAAATTCTATTGGCCACTTTTATATATTGTGTTGCCCATTTTCTTCTAATGAAGTGTTTCTTTTTCCCTTATAATTTTGTAATAATTCTTTACCAATTAAAGATAATAACCCTTTATCATTTTCATTACAAATATTTTCCCATGTTTATCATTTGCTTTTTAATTTTGATTATGATATCTTATGTCATACTGAAGTCATACATTTTAAAACAGTCAATACAATAAATCATCCTTCGTTTTTGCTTTCATTCCTAAAAAGAGTTTCCTCATATTGAGATTAAGAGTAGTTTCTTTTTGTTTTCAGTTCATTCTTCACCCACCTGATACTAGTTTAATTTTTCCATGAAGAATAAATGTTTTTTTCTCCCAAAGAGTTAAATTACTTTAATAATCACCCCATCTTTAATAAGTTCAATCTGTTCCATAAGTTGACTAATACATCTTCTCTCAAGAGTTCTGAAATGCCATGTTTACTATAAACTGAATATTTAGCTCACATTTTTTCTGGGCTTTAACTGGTATCTCACTGGTTTGTATATTCTTATTAAGAACTGTACTGTTATAAAGACTTGGCCTCTAAACTATTCTAATATTCCATATTTTCTACTCTTATTTTTCAAAAGTATCATGCCTATTCTAACTGAATTTTTTCTTCCAGGTTATTTCAGTATCATTTTGTAACATAAGTAGCTAAACAAAAACACTGGCATTTTTATTGGCACTGCATTAAAATTAACTTGAGAACAAAACAGATTTCGAATCGAAAGATTTGTAGAATGGCATAGTTCTTAATATGTTTATTACTAGGCTTTCTTTCTTTGTTGTTGTTGGTGATCTTTTAAATGAATTCCTCCCTGCCCCCCACCCCCAATATAGTTTCTAACTAATTATAGCTGGTCTGATTAGAAAGCGTTCTTGTCTAAATTCATCTTCTCAGCTTCTTTAAATGTTCTCTTCCCTCTAGGTTTTGTGACACTATTCTCTCTAGATTCTCTATTTGTTCAAGTATCATTCATCATGTGCTTGTTTATCACAAAAATGATTAAATGCCTACATCTGCTGTGGACACAAAAGTGAACGACGTGGACAAGTTCCTAATCCTAATGGAGCTAGCAGTCCAGAAAGGGGGACACACAATAATAAAATGAGCACAGAAATGACTATACAATTACAAACTATGATAAATGATGTGTGGGTGTATACAAATGTATGTATAAACAAACATATATACACATAAACCCAGGTACTACTGCAGGCCCAGCAGGAAGAAGGTACTCACTACACATTGACAGAAAGAATGAAGTATCTACCACTTAATATAAACACTTTGAAAGAGCTGAAACACAATATAAAAAATGAAAAAGAATGGCACAAAATAGTATTTTAAATCGATAAATAAAGATGTTCTTTGCGGAATGGAAATTAAGAGTCCTCTGAATACTGTGAAGACAATCTTTTACAAGTTCAGTTTTTTTTTTTTTTTTTTTTTTTTTTCTG